GCTGGATGGGAAGCGGGGCTGCCAGTATCAGACCTGGAGCCCATATGGGATCCCGGGTGCATGCAAGGCGAGGACTTTAACCACTATGCTATCGCGCTGGGCCCCAAATACCAGATTTTTTACAGAGGACAAAATCTTAAAAAACTTTCATATTACACTGAATACTTTTTCTCAAGAAGAGGTATTTCCTTACAGTCTGTACTGAGGAATGCCACATTTGTGCCTTCCTACAGCTTTTTCTTTTCTTCATCCACACTCAAACGAGTACTCAGGTGAGACTGCTTCTGAAGCTAAAAATATTCCTAATGATAACAGCACATGTGGAAACCAAGTAGTCCCCAGCGCTGGCACCTGCAGCCACGGCTGAGGAAAACTGAAGCCTGATGCGCGAGAGATTGGGAGAGGGCTGCCGGCTTTTCTCTTCACAGCCACAGCACTCGATGTCAGAGCAAAACCAGTTCACTAGATCCATTTAGCTTGCCAACCTTGAAATCGGTTTGCCAAAACTGGAGGCATTTACATGATTTCAAATTCTATGCATAGAATGAGACATGACCCATAAACCTTATTTGACATGTGCATGATTAAAAGCATACAAATGCAAGCACACGGTACTGGCGCTGGGCTATCGGGGTTTTAACATAACCATAAACACATTGCTTTACACCGAACACAAACAGTGGCTGGTGAGTAAACAGAACCAACAGCTTTGTGCAGCTCCGGGAAGCATAGAGAACTGGCAGCCAAATCAGACACAAGGAATCCTCCTTTCAATCTATTTGCTCCACACAGAAAATGATGGAGGAAGTGAGATATCTGACTAATGCCTAATTTTTAAACCCTAGACAAAACATTTCAGTGCAGATCGGAAAGGACTGTATTTACTCTGATCTAAGGCAAAGGTAGCGGAATAATTTTCTTTAAATAACATCCAGCTTTGCTGACATCTTATTTTCCAAAAGCAGCTGTTAGCCAAATATAGTATTGTTTATTCACTCCCTGGAAGACTGTCTTTTTTTTTTTTTTTAAAGTGCTTCTTCTGGTAAAAATGTTGCATCATATAATTGAAGATAACAGGAAAAGTAGGAGTTGCTGTTTGTATTTAAATAAACATCTGCTCTAAAGTCCAGCTTTCTGTTTGCGAATAATCCTTTCATTTTATGCCATTAGGCACACTGAATTATTGCTGTTTATTTCTTTCTTTAGGAAATATTCCAAACATGGAAACACATGACACACTCCCCTTGGAAAGGATGAAGCAGATGAGACCAAGCTCTTTGCTTTTGTCCTCCGCTGTGCAGTTAGGCATTTCTGTGTCGGCGGCCTTATGAATAGGTAATATTCACCGTGACAACGGATTTCTTATTATCCGACACATTCTTCTTAAATTGAAGTTAGATGTTAGTTTTGTTTGCAGGATGGCCATTTAAAAATATAGTGGCCCTCTGTAGAGAATACGTATTATTATCTATCATAGAATATTAATACCATATAATACATATTTTTACCACATAATTGCTTTATAGCTATTTTATTCTCAGCTTATTTACTGATAGTCTAGGAATGAAAACCTATTCTATGCAAATTTTTTTGATCCAATTTTTATTTTCTTCATATTGTTCGCTTGGCTCTTTAACTCCGTTATTGTCTCCAAATTCTTTCTTAGAGATCGTTGAAGACAGCTTTAGCCAGCTTTAAGAGAGGCAGAAGATTCAGGTGCTGCTTCTCATCCCCTTGCTCAAACAGGCAGTGTGTTCTTTGGGAAAATAAACATTGAAGTGAATGGTGTCCCACATGCCTGTTAACTTCTAAAATTTTAAGATTCCACTAAGAATTGAGATTTATTGCCTAACGTAGGTGAGTGACATATAGAAATCCAAAATTTGGGGAAAGGGTGATGAGGCGTTTGCGCTTTGGGGTGATTAACCTGCTATACCCTGCCATTAGCATGAGTAGTTAAAACCTTCCACATGCTGCATTTATTCTCTTTCATGGAGCTTTGGACAAAAAAGGCAACATTTTACGCTCAGAGAGAATTCTTTTTATGTTCCCAGGCATCTTCCATCAGAAGCCAAAGAACATTTCTAAAATTGCTTAGATTCTAGCAAGATTTAAATGGAGCACTGCTCTGCTTCCCACTTGGATCTTGGAACACACTGCCTTAAGAAGGCGTTCATACTCTCCCGCTTGGAGACACATTCGTCATGATGCTAGTGTCATCGAGACAAACGGGTACTTTTACTAAGGATATGTAGCTTTTCTGTCCTTATTGCAAAGTATGTTATGGCACAATATTGTTTGTGGTTTTATAATGAAGCATTTTATAGTATAGGAAACTTCTCTTTACTGAAAAAGCATATGCCACTTAATTATTATAAAGCTCTTTACAAATATAAAGAATTCCTAATGCCCATTAGCAAATAAACTGCTTGAATACTTTCAGCTTCTTGGAGTGCATTATTTTCTCAGCAGACAAAGCAGGATTTGGAAATCTTAGCTCAAGGGAAGGAACGACTGCCTAGAGTGTATTTTGCAGGTTTCTACTCCTACTGGTAGTGCAGGTGGCATATGTAAATATTCCTCAAAAGGATGCTGCTCCTCTGAAAGCCCAACAGGCACACATTTCCACAAGTAACCTTACATACAATCATACTACAGACGCATAGCTGTGAGCAATAAAAATCAAGAAGATATTTAATCATGAAAGGATTTATATTCTACAAGGATACTTAAACTAAAGGTATCTTTAAATTATTTAACTAAATCTTACCGCCTTATTGACCACTATATTGATGAGGACTATTGAGACTGAAATGACAGAAATACAACTCCAACTAGATTAAGAAAAGCAAAACCAAACTCTCATGCAATTAGGAGGCAAGCTGGGTGGCTCACAATTTTTGAGTATTGCAGGAACTCGGAACCAGGAACATCCCTGAGCAATCTTGTCTTGGCTCACTGCAGTCTTTCAGCTATGTGGGCAGAATATCACCCTTACCAGTTTTCTACAACCGAGAGCTCAAGGTCCTTTACCTGCTGCAAAATTATTATATGTTGTGACCAGTCCAATCTGGGTGGATCCTTATGAATGGTGATCTGAATTAATTATCCCATTAAGATCTCACATGGAAGTATCTTTCCCAAATAGAAGAGAATATGGCTAGGTGGAATAGGAAAACAAACTACACTTAAGATTCTGTTTGGTAACCTTACCCATGTCAACCTTGAGGCAGAGATTTATGCTAAGCTGGTGGGAGCCTCAGAGTAACTTAGTCTATGGTTCTGGTCTTCACAACCTTGAGTTTGGTGCTCCTTGGCTAGTCTGACGCATTAGCTTTACATGTTACCTATTTATTTGAATTCTTTCTGCATAAACCTTGGAAAAGAAGTATCGTAAGAAATCTGTCTTCAACATGACGCCGTGAAGAAAACAGTTGACGCAGAAAGACCCCTTCCCACATCATTGCTCTGCCACTTACTAGCCCTGTGACTTGCAGCAAGACACGTAAGCTCCATGCACTTTAACCCCATCATCTGCGCAGTGGAAGCATCCATGCCCACACAGCGTCCACAAAGCCCACTCATCAGATGCTCACCAACTGGCAGCTCCAGTGCTGCACATGGTTTCTCCCGGACCCTACCTTTTCATCTCATTTCACATTAATGAATGGAAAGTTGGATCAGATTAAGGAGAAAAAAAAAGGAAAACATTGCTCTTGTCATGTGATACATCCTAGGGGGCCTTTGAAGAGCCTGTATTACACACTGCTTGGACCTCCAGTCTCCTTTACACGATAGCCTGTCAGGTCCTTCATTACAGTGTCTAGAAGCTAACACAGTAACTATTACTGAAAATGACACGCCTCTACTTTGCACAATCTAAAGAATCAGGACAGTGCTTAATGTTCACAATACTAGAACAAGACAGTGAGGATTAAAAAAACAAGACATTATCCCTGCCACACTGGATTTAAAACAGGGGAAAAATGAAAAAACCAAACAAATGGTTAAAAAAAAAATGAGAAAAATGTATGACAGTCCAAAAGAAGTTGCCATGTGGCAAACATGATACAATGGCCTTGCGTTCAGAAACACTGAACGCAAGGCCATTTGAGGCATTAAGTGGAAGCACTCTCACTTCCTCTGCAAATATTTCAAGCAAATAAAACCCTCAATCTTTGTTCTTTAAAGCAGACAGAGTACTCCAGTCCTGTGTGCAAGTGTAACAAAGCGATATCGGTGACTATGTGTGAAGCATTCAGCCCTTTCCTGCCTCCAAAAAGGGCAGACAACATTGGAATAATTTATTTCATGATGCCATGATGTTTTGACACAACTAAAACTGTATGTTGGCCAAGCAGTCACAATCAAAACCAGTACCTGGCATCACTAGAATTAGCTTGGACAATATCTCAACCAACAGCTTTCCTGTGTGTGTGTGTGTGTGCATTCCCCAATTTTCAAATTCAGAATTGTTTTAATATAGTATGAGTTAGTTCCTAAGTATACCCAAGGCACAACAGATTTAACCAACTAGTAGCTTAGGAAAAAAAACTCTAAATTTTAGAATTCATCCAAAGCAGCATAGCTCAACTAAGCGAGACCAGGATCTGACTAGTACCTTTTCATCTGCTCACTAAAGTTGAAATAAACACTCCACAGAAAACCTCACAGATGTTCTAAGCAGAAACAAGCAGGTCACTCACTCCAGCAGTTGAGGTTAGTATGCAAACACTGATCTCATTTCCTTAATAGTTTTGACACATTAATTTTTGAAACAACCCAACTCCATGTGAAGCTGTCGCCTTTGACCTTGGCTATAAGGTCAACACATGGTCACTCGGGTTTCTCTAAACACTAAAACAAAAGCATCACGAACACCCAGAAAAATTAGTTTAAGAGGTAAGCTTATACTGATGTAAAAAATATTCACCAAATAAAACTTAATCATTCAAACATTCCAAATCAGCATACCATTAAAAAGTACATGAATTTCAAAGTCTTGCACCAAAATAACTTTAATTGCATTATTTCCTAACTACATAGGAAATGCTGAGTTTCTATCCCGCAATGGGATTGAGGTCCCAAGAAACTAAAGGGTTGTAATCTACCACTTGAAGGACAGTATCCATCTAGTTCAATGCCTCACTCTGAGGAAACACAAGCTATTGACATGCATTGCATTTTTCTTAAATCTTTTATACTACCTTTTATTCACCAAATCCCTACCATGAAATCTTAACCTTCTAAGATGTCCCCAAATAACTTCCATCCACTGAGTTACAGCAGATCATATTCACCAAAAGCCCTTGGTAAACAATACACTCCTTACCCTGCCAAAGGGGACCCCCACATGGCCTCTAAATGACAGAATTTCCAAGGTAACAGGGATTAGATAGGTTTTCTGACTACATATCCAATCACCAGGATTTAAAAACCTGTATTTAAAGTCACTTGCACAGGAATGACCATTCTAGCCATAGGTGAAAAAAAAAAAATTGAAACGGTCAGTCATACAGTAAATCCAAGCTACTATCAGATCCTTCTCACGATTATTCCAGGTAATTTAAATCAGGCTGTTTACAGAGTAAGAATCACAAACAGCAGCATTATCAATTAGACCATTTAATTACTAAACCTAGTGATTTCAGCCAAATACATGTTTCGTACATCAGAAACTTTGTTGAAGGCTGCTAATAAACACTGTCAAAATTTCGAAGTTAAGTCATGCTTGAAAGCCAAGATAAGCAACTCCTTCCAATGGTTATTACTTCTGACCAAGGCACAAAAATTCACTTTGACAGTAGCTTTCATAACACTCCTAAAAATAGGATAGCTCATAAATGTTCCAAACTGTTCTTCCGTGCTGTAGACAGCCCTTGTTGGCATACTCTAATGTGAGTTCCTGGAGACTCCTTGAAATCTAGCATCATGTCGCAATATACCGTTTAGTGTTCTCACCAATAAAAATACCAGCAGAAAAATATTTGCCTTCAGGCAGGCTATACGGGAAGTAACCGACACAAAGATTCAAAGCATATGTATGCTTCAGGAATTAATGAAATTTGAACTTAGCACACTTTCCCAAATTTTAATAGTTCTAACTACAGCAAACCTGCTCTAAGGATCGAAACGCTGCAAGCTTCCTCAAATTCTCCCCAATTCCTAAGAACATTGGATTTATAGCTTTATTATAGTAACAAATCGTTGTCACAGTGAGATCTACACACATTTACAGGTTTTATAAATTCATATAGAACAATATTTACATTTTTAAGTTACAGTTTTGAAATTAGAAGTAAAGAACAGCTTAAGTTTTACAACAAAGAAACATATATAAGACAAAAACAGAGTTAACAGTAAAAACACAACTATTCATTCTTGATAGAATATGTGGAAACTTGTCGTCGGGGAGCTAAATCTTCTTAATTTGATTTTCCACATCATGAAAATATGGATGATTTAGTGCCATTTTGCCAGAAATCCGTTTGGCAGGATCGTAGACTAACATTTTCTGGAGGAAAAAAAAAAAGAAAAAGACATTTCTTTACCATAAAGCATTAACTCTTCTAATGAGTACATGCTAAATGAATATTTCAACCAGTTTAATACTAAGCCAGTCATGTCTCATCTTTTCATGTTCCATTCACCTTGTAGCTCTAGAATAACTCATTGCTGAAATCATAAACATTGCCATAACTTTTTTTTTTTTTAATAATTTTCACAAGGCACAAGTATTCAAAAATAGCTTCAAGAGCAACACAAATTTAGGAAACACATCCAGCTAATTATATTTCCTTTGATAATTAAATGATCATCTGAGATATTTACAACATTTCTGAAATGGTGGCAATTAACTCCAGTGGTTTCTGATCTAGTTTTCTACAGAGAAAACCCATAGTATATTGTTCTATAAACATGGCTACAAATCAGTCATTACATAAACCACAAACAACCTGACATTAAATTTAATCAGAAAAGCTGAAGAAAAGTGAGGACTGATTTTAAATTTGATCTGAAAGAAATGAATCTTAAAGTGGAGTCAATAAGCAGACGACAGATACTGTCACCAACAAGTCATCATCGCCACAGTTAGGTAGCCAGGACTCTGTGAAGCTCTCGGAGCAGACCTACTTCCTCCAAGGAGGACACTGAGGCTCAAAGAAACGAATATCCCAAGTTCCCAAAGCCAAAGAACACTGAAGCCAGGTCTAGTTTATGATGTACGAAGACGGTTCTCAACTGGGAAGGCTTCGCTGCCGAGGGGACAACTGACAACATTCAGAGACAGATTTGGCTGTCCTAAAAGAGGAAGAGTGGATTATCTAGAGGGTAGAGGACGGCGATACTGCTAAACATGTATACAATACGGATGATTCTAGCAAAACTTTAGCGGGCCCAGGGGTCAATGTGACTAGACAGAGGAATAAAATATACAGTATTTGGGTTTTTGCTTCATTACAACTTAGAAATCACAGAAGTCAAAACAGCAGACTGGCCCAGAACTGCAGAAGACCCTTTAAGGGAAATCAACGATGCTGGCATCCTTGCACCAAGGGTCTTTGCAACTTGCCTGGAGGAAGCTGTTTTTTCGTTTTGTTTTGAATCCTAACAGGTTCTTTTAAAAATATTAACAGGTTCTACTTTGTTTCTTTGTCTTATTTGTAACTATTACTGACAACAGAAATTTAACACAGGAGGATAATTTTTAAGGAGTGCATCAATCCTAACCTTTATAATGGAGAAACTACATAAAAAGAGTTAATGCTGTAAACTACTTTAATAACTAAAAATAAGAAGCAGTAAGAGGCTGTACAACCCGGTGGCCTAGCAGCTAAAGTCCTCAGCTTGCATGCACCAGGATCATATACAGGCGCTAGTTCATGTCCCAGCCGCTTCCCATCCAGTTCTCTGCTTATGGCCTGGGAAAGCAGTCAAGGACGGAGCAAAGCCTTGGGACCCTGCACCCACATGGGAGACCTGGAAGAGGTTCTAGGCTCCTCGCTTTGGATCGGCGCAGCTCCCAGCTGTTGGGGCTGCTTGGGGAGTGAATTAACAGACCGAAGATGTTCCTTTCTGTATATCTGACTTTTAAATCAATCACTCAATCAATCAATCTTTAAAACAAAATGCAGCAATAAAATCCCTTGAAGGTAAATTAAAAAGGAGATTTAATAGTCAAAGTTGAGTTGCTTGCTTTTCCTTCAGTTATGCAACAGCAAAACAAACCCCAAAATTCTTTTCTCAAAACCACCAGAGTTTCCTGATGACTGAGACAGGACCAGTAACACAACAAAACTTTCCCCAGAGGAAGGCAAGGATTTAAGGAACACATTCCGAATCACCAGTAAGGGCCAAGGGAGTATAAGGGGTACTCCTTACTGAGAGCAAATCTAAGCCGTTTTCATCCAAATTCTTGACGTGGGATGCTAAGCTTCCTGGTTTCCACTTTGGAAATGTATTCTTGTAGTCCTGTAAAGATTCCACTTCCGGCCACACTTCATTATTGGGAGTGCCCAAAGCTCTAAAAGTCGGAGCAAAATAAAACATTAATTAAGGCATAAACAACACTTTCTACATACATATTGCCTTACTACTTCAAGCACAGCATGTTTGGGTCAGTATGTACATATATACCTGAAAATCCTGAAGAGTTGATCAATTTCTGAATCTCCATGGAAAAGTGGTTTCTTGGTTGCCAACTCTGCAAATATGGTGCCTATACTCCAAATGTCAACTGGAGTTGAATACCGAGCTGACCCCAACAGTACTTCTGGAGATCTATACCAGAGTGTTACTACCTATGAAGCAAATTTTTACACTGAATAAGCATGGTGCATAAAATTGCCCGTATTTAAACATTTGTACTGTATTAGGACGATTGTTCAGGAAGTTGTATGAATACAAGTGATAATACAAAGTTAATAAAACATTAAATTGAAGATACCATCACTTCAAACTTCCATATAGCAGCATAAAAACAAAAAGCATACTAAATCTTTTCTTAACATTAAGAGATCAAAACAGCCTTACCTTTTTAAAAGTAAAATGACAATGAAATGGGCTTACGGGTGATATCATACAAGGTGCTGGACTACTTACCGCCAGCATGCACTATGAACTAGCCAAAGAACAATTTACAGTAATCTAAAATTAAGCAACCAATTCAGTGCATGTAATTTATCCTAATGATCTAAAACAAAGCCTGTGAGGTCAGGTATGGGCGATGCAGTCCCAAGGCTGGCAGCCACGGGGGGCAGCTGGCAGCCCTTGGTTCGAGCACCCGCTACCCTGCACTTCCAATCCAGCTTCCTGTTCATGTGTCCGGAGGCAACAAGACTGCCAGAGCAGCTGGACTCCTACACCCACACTGAGCTCCTACTCCAGATTTCACCTGCTCTGGCCCTGAATACTGCACACATCTGAGTAGCAAACTGGCAGATGGAAGATCTTTCTAGTCACTCTTCGTTCCAAATAAACAAGCTGGTGAGATCAGTTGCATTTGTTTAAGTCGCATAGAATCATGGAAAGTAACAAGTCAAGATGTCTAACCAAATGAGCGCAGTTAAGTTCTGCTCTGGAGACAACCTTCCCCCCGGAGGACACCTAGTTCCAGAGCAAAGCATGTTCCCTTTCTCTCCACAACAGGAACTGAAATCCCAAGCCATCAAATGTAACAGGGACCAACCACTATCAAACGCACATTTTTTTTTAGTAGCTTGAAATAGTGCCTTCCTCCCCCAAAATGTAAAATCTGTTATCTGGCATACTAGATAGGGTCCAATTAGGTGACAGAAACCCCATGTTAATATTAAATGCGGCGTGGTGGCGCAAGTGGTTAAGGCCCTCGCCTTGCATGCCCGGGATCCCATATGGGCGCCGGTTCTAATCCTGGCAGCCCCGCTTCCCTTCCAGCTCCCTGCCTGTGGCCCGGGAAAGCAGTCGAGGATGGCCCAAAGCCTTGGGAACCTGCACCCGCATGGGAAACCCAGAAGAGGCTCCTGGCTTCGGATCAGCATAGCATTGGCCGTTGTGCTCACTTGGGGAGTGAATCATCGAACGGAAGATCTTCCTCTCTGTCTCTCCTCCTCTCTGTATATCCGCCTTTCCAATAAAAAAAAGTAATAATAAAAATAAATCTTTAAAATTAAAAAAAAAAAGTAAGTTTAACATGAAGAGTAAGACTGACGTGTAAGAAACTTCTGTGAAAGCTACAGGGTAGCAGAACTTGTTTCTCCCGCCATGCCTGTCTTGTATCCTCCACTGACTAATCTGAACACAGCAGCTGGCAGAGAAGACCATTCTACGGCTCCTGCTCCACTGTCACACAGCACACACCGCAATAACCAAGACACTGTTACAAAGTAGACGTTTTCATAGGTTTGTTTTTTTTTCATTTGACTTAAACACAACTACAAACATTCTAAGCAGCAAAACCCATTTTGCTACTTACCTCATGTGTATACACTCTAATAGGTATTCCAAAAGCCCTGGCAAGGCCAAAATCAGCCAGCTTAATAGTTCCCTTGTCATCAATCAACAGATTTTGAGGTTTTAAGTCTCTATGAAGAACTCTTCTAGAGTGACAAAACACAATCCCCTGTAGGATCTGGTACAAGTAACTCTGAAAACAGAAATCATGTTAGACAATTTAGATCATACAAGATTTTCTAAAACTAAGTTTTGCCAAAACAATAACGGTTACACAACATGAGTACTTAACAAGAGACATATGCAAAGATATTCCTTGCAGCTCTCATCCTATTTGTCCATCAACTTGGAAATGGTCTAAGCAATTATATCCAAAAGACTGGAAAAGATGCATTTTTATGTCAACCCTTTATAAAGTAGTAAAGTAGCATGCGTGTACAAGGATATCTCAAAAGTAAGAGAAAAAAATTAAATGAAAACTTAAAAGGTTAGGGGTGGATTTGAGGCTAAGCTGCTTAGGACACCCAACGTGGAATACCACTTTCAATTCCAGCTGCTTGGCTTCTGATCAGGTGCTCTGCCAGTGAGCCTGGCAAGCAGCACATGACGGCTCCAGGGCCTGAGACCTGCATGCAGTGAGCTCCAGGCTTCAGCCTCAGCCAGCCCACACTGTGCAGCCAACTGCGGGGGAGGAAAATCAGCAATGGCAGAACTTCCTCTGTCACTCTGCCCTTCAAACAAATAAACATTTTTTGGTACAAAAGATTATTCACTTTCCATAACAACTTCTTGTATTTATAAGATGCCATTCATCAAAGTACAAAATTATGAGTAAAACTCTCATCAGCTAACTCTAAGGAGTGGTTCAGTAGAGCTGGATATAATAAATGTCCACAATAAACTAGCTGAAATATTTCTGAAATACTGATCGAATCCCCCATCTTCACCCTACCCTTGGCTTTTGGTGCTTTGCCGTACACACATTTGACAAAGACCAGAAGTACCCTGTGCTTTTGATAGTCTGGGTACTACATGTCACCAAAAGGCCCATGTTTTAAGGTTTGGTTCATAAAACCTTGGATTAACAACATTAACAGCACAAAAACTTAATCTAATTATAGTCGCTGAAAATGGAGCACTTGGGAAAAGATGAGATTGTCAGTGCGAAACCTCCATGTTCAGATTGCAGGCCTGTGAGGCCCTGTGCCACCTGGAACTGCTAGCAAGAACATCATAAGCTCAACAGGAGTCCAGCTAAGGGCCCTCCCTCCAGAAGTGCCTTATCCTAGGCATGTTATCACCCAAAAGTTGACTAATACATTTAATTTCCAACAATATATACTTAGCAGTTTTATATTATCTTGGACACTGTTTAGTAGTAAGATGGCTGTTAATTTATTTAGTCTATATGGACAATTAGGGGAAGATAAATACTTTTTTCATTGTTCTACTTTCTGACACTTCCTCCAAGTAAATTCCCACAAAATTCACAGACTTGTAGAGTAGGCTCTTCACATTCACAGAGCATAAATATTAGAAGTCAGGTCAGACTCTTACCTTAACAAGTGAGGAATCCATAAACTGACCAGGAGGAATTGAGTCCAAGTATTTCTTAAGATCCATGGAAAGGAATTCAAAGATGAGATACAACCTGGAATCCTGCATGAGCACATCCTGGAGGCTGAGAAAGAAAATAACTGTATGAGCAAAAAAAGTCCAGCATGCATTTTTTTCACTTCACTCTTCCACAAAATAAAACTACTTCTGTAAGCCTCAGTGACTACCATAAAAAGTGAGGAAGAGACTGATGGCTTCCCTAATGGAGAAAAACTTAAACACAAACAGAGAATTTCAGGAAGAAATCCGAGGACAGCGACAGGCAGGGAACACTTCTGTTTAGGACACCTGCAATCCACATCAGAATTCCTGCTTTCAGTTTGTTCTGCCTGCTACTGAGCACTCTTTGGGAAGTAGTGGTGACAGCTCCAGGGCCTGGATGGAACACTCCCTGGGGAGTTAGTGGTGACAGCTCCAGGGACTGGACAGCCAGCCACCCACGTGGGAGACCTGGACTGAGTTCCTGATACGGGGGTTTTGACCCCTGCAGTCACTGCAGGTATTTGTGTGGAGCTCACCAACAGACACAATCATTTTCCACCTTTCAATGTTTTTTTTAAAGATTTTTATTTGAAAGGCAGAGTTATGTAGGGAGCGGAGAGGCCCAGAGAGACAGAAATCTCCCAACTGCTGGTTCACTACTCAGACTGGGTCAACTAGGAGAGCTGGGTTAACCAGAAAGTTCATCCAGGTCTCCCATGCTGGTGGTAGGGGACTGAGGACTTGAACCAGTGCCCACAAGGGATGCTGACATTGCAGGTGACAGCTGAAGCCACTACACCACAACACCAGCCACTCAAATAACCTTTGTCTTCCCACTGAAGAACACGAGAGTATAATCTCACCTAATTCCAGCCTCGCAAAATGCCAACTAGCCACTATCTTAGATTGTCCCTATAATATCCAATTGAAATACTTTAAAAAGTTATTTCTCATCTAATTAGGCTACCTGTCATAGGGCTCCCGTTAAGGCTTCTTTGGAGCCTAGAGCACCCAGGCTGGGAGAGTTAACAAAGCTTTATTTTCTATCATGGCTGCTTTACCTTGCTTTTCAGACCTTAGTACTAATTCACATCACCAGGCTACTACAATCACATTCCTTGCTTTGTTTTAAAGATTTTTAAAATTTATTTGTAAGGCCATGTTATAGAGGGAGAGACAGATCTTAGATCTACTACTGCTTCACTCCCCAGATGGCCCCAACAGCCAGTGCTGGGCCAGGCCAAAGCCAGGAACTTCATACAGGCCTCCCAAGTGGACGGCAAGGGCCAAAGCACTTGGGTCACCAATCCGCTGCTACGCATCAGCAGGACGCTGGATCGGAAGTGCAGCAGGAGCAGCCAGGACTCACACCAGCGCTCGTATGGCATGTCAGCATCGTCTAGCAGCCACTTCCACATATGCAGAGAATTCAATAAATCAATAGGTCTCCATCTTCTGTAGCAAGACTAGACCAGAAATTAAGCAATCAACACAAGGAAATTCACATTTGAAATTGTCTGCAGTAAAGGCTTAAATTCAGAAATACCATACCTGACTATATTTGGATGGCGAAGTTCTTTTAATAAAGAAATTTCCCGAATTGCAGTGCTAGGAACCCCTTCCTCTTCACTTTCTAGTCTGATTTTCTTCATAGCTACCACTTGACCTGTGGTTTTGTGTCTGCCCTTATAAACAACTCCATAGGTACCTGAAACAGACAAAGTGAATTTCTACCATTTGATACACCCCCAAACCTAACATCTTCAAATGATTACAACCCACAAGGTGTCATACAACAGAAATGATTGCTGTGGGCAGACGGAAAAATATCTATTATCCCTTCATCGCTCCCAAAAACAATCTGATAGCAACAACCTATCACGTATACAGTTAAGAAATAAAATTCATATAGTCCTAAGTTTCCCACACATTCAAACTACCATTTAATACTCCAGCACATTTAACACAAGCAGAGAACTTTCACAGATCTATCAAACATCACAACCAACATAAATGAGGTCCCAAACAGTGTAAAGATTTGGATTCAGAAATTCTTGACATTACCTTCATGCTTTTGAAGGTACTTTACAGATATATCACAAAAATAGTCACAAACTTCATCCAGAAAAGAATGGAAGTTTTAAACACTTTTGATTTGTATTTATATTTATGAGCGACAGGAAGCACAACTGGTAACAAGTAAATAAGCTCCAAATGATGCAATGATGTCAAGGGAAGAAACTAAGTTCAGAGTTGGATATAAGAGGCAAAAATAAAGGAGACTGACTAGTTAGCTAAAACAACTTTATATACATGCTACAAGTGCTTTTTAAACTGAGGTGTCAGTTTAAGGAGGTCTTAAAATCCTTAACTGCATAAGATTTTAATAGCTTTTACTTTGCATAATATCAATATAATTTAAAAAGGTCATTGGACTTCATCATTTCCCTAGGGAGGTGTATATTCTCCAGTTTTATCAGTTTTTCCAGAAGGTAGCAATAAAACCGGCTAAGAACCACTACAAATTACCAACTGCTTAGGTAAGACCATCAGGCAGTTTACACAGCTGCAAACTGATGTTACATAATTTATTCTAAAAATTTTAAAAGAAAATTCTGCCTAATAGTTTATCTTCCTAAATACCACTGACACTAAAGACAGAAGATAAAATTCAGGCATCAGTGTGATAGCTCAACTGGCTGATTTTCCACCTACAAGCATTATCCCAGATGGGCACCCTGACTCATGTCCTGTTGTTCCATTTCCATCCAACTCTTTGCTGTGGTCTGGGAAAACAGAGAAGGACGGCCCAAAGTCTTGGAACCCTGCACCTGCATGGGAGAGCTGGAAGAAGCTCCTGGATCCTGGTTTCGGATCAGCTCAGCTCTAGCCATTGTGGCCATTTGGGGAGTGAATTAATAAATGGGAGATCTCTCTGTAAATCTGTCTTTCCAATAAAAATAAATAAATGGTTTTTTTTAAAAAAAAAACTGGATAAAATCCATTCCAGGCCATTTATGACTGAATTTTGGGTTGTACCTTGGAATGAGAAAAGTTATTTCCATTATTAACCACATTTGCCCCTCAGTCATCCTACAGGTAAGGAGCTTGCTGTGCGATTCACCTTTTAGAGTAGATGTATCACACTTCCAGTGAACACTAAAGGTATGCAAGCCAGAGGCACGCTCAGCTGGCATGTCACCCTGGGAAGATCAACATTTGCATAATATAATCAAACAGCTCGTGCTAATTTCAGAATAATGTTCCTCCAATATTCTTCCCTTTCCCTTATGTATACAATCTCTTTTGGTCCTAATCCACACAATTTAGTCAGGATCAGCCAGGGGCCAACGCTCCACGTGTACTAAACTGTATTCCGGAGATTCAGTGCCCCATATCCGTGCGTTATCTATCAATGATCGCTCCTTCTGATGTAATGAAATAAGAGTTAAAGCAAAGTATACTATTGGCTTGTCATCAAAGAGGATTTAAAAAACTTACAATATATGCTCTAAAATGAAGTTTCCATTCTATATATAGAAAACTTTCCAAATAATTGACTTGCCATGAACAATTCTACCACCACAGATACAGCTACTGTCCCTTACCCAAAAACCTTTTTCTCAAGACCAGGAATCCAAAGACTGGCATGACAAAATGAAAGTCACTTCACAATGCATGAAACGAAAAGAGCATGAATGTATTTAGGAAGCAAATTTCACCCTTAAAACACCAAGGTCAGGGCCCGGTAGCGTGGCCTAGCGGCTAAAGTCCTCGCCTTGAATGCCCCGGGATCCCATATGGGCGCCGGTTCTAATCCCAGCAGCCCCACTTGCCACCCAGCTCCCTGCTTGTGGCCCAGCAAAGCAGTTGAGGACGGCCCAAAGCTTTGGGACCGTGCACTCCTGTGGGATACCCAGAAGAAGTTCCTGGATCCTGGCTTCAGAATGGCACAGCATCGTCCATCCGTTGCGCTCACTTGGGGAGTGAATCGTCAGACGGAAGATCTTCCTCTCTATCTCTCCTCCTCTCTGAATATTTGACTTTAAAATAAATCTTAAAAAACAAAAAGCCACCAAGGTCAGGAGGGAGAAAAAGCAAGAATGTTCAAAATGTATTAAATGCCAAATGAGACTCACAAACTTGGGTGGAGTTTTGTAACTGCATTTAAAATAATTTATTTACTTTTATTGCAAAGTCAGATTTAAAGAGAGAAGGAGGAAGAGAGAAAGATTTTGGATCCACTGGTTCACTCCCCAAGTGGTCATAATAGCCAGAGCTGAGTCGATCTGGAGCCAGGAGCCAGGAGCTTCCTCAGGATCTCTCATGTGGGCGCAGGGGCCCACGGCTTTGGGCTGTCCTCTACTGCTTTCCCAGACCACAAGCAGGGAGCTGGAAGGGAAGTGGAGCAGCCAGGACACAAACCAGTGCCCATATGGAGTCCCAGTGCATGTAAGGTGAGAACTTCAGCCAATAGGTTACTGCACCGGGCACATAAATGCATTTTGCACAACGTATTTGAAGTGGATCAAAAAGAAAATCGGCAGCTAACAAGACAGTGTGACAAAACACTAACATCCCGATAAAGGTATTACAGGTTCATTGGAGAAGTCTTTCGCCTTATCCACAGTTTTAGAAAGCTAACATAGCACAGGGGGTTAAGCTCCTCCTGGAGACACTGGTCATCTCACATGGGCGCTGGCTGGAGTTTCTGGCTGTTCCACTTGCCACTGGCTTCTTGCTAATGCACCTGGGAAAGCACCAGATTGCCAAGTGCCTGGGCCCCTGCACCAATGTGGGAAATTTGGACAGAAGTAAACCAGCAGACAGAATGATCTCTTTCCTCCTCCCTCTTTCTAACTCTTGCTTTCAAGTAAACAAATCATAAAAAAAAAATGTTTAAAATAAAAGTTGAGGTGGTGGGAAACACTCAGCTTTGACCAGGCACCTCGTAGAACTAAAGTAAAATTCCACACAGACAGTGTCATATTGGCCTCAAGCTATTTCCATGAAATTTTCAAAAACAATGTCCAGTATGTAATCCGCAACAGCTGGGCGCTGGAGTAGCCGAACTATACCAACCATGAAAGAGGGAAACAGAGTTTAAGCACAGACACAAAGAGAAACAGCTAACAGGGTTATCAAGTATTCCAATGTCTTCTGTGGACTGAACACTACTGCCAAGTTGTGGGCAAACAATTATGAACAAGACAAAAATCCCAGCTCTTATGGAGCTAAAATTTGGCATAAAAAAAAAAAAAACCCACAGAATACTTTTGGACTAGACAAAAAATTAACACAATGGAATGTTGTTGTTCCAGGGAGAAAGAACAGCCACTGCCAAAGGTTCACAGGCCAAGCAGCAGGGCCCACTGAGGGAACAGCCAGCCTTGTGGGTTTAACAGGATTAAGGTGCTGCCTGCGATGCTGGTTCAAGTCCCAGCTGCTCCATTTCTAATCCAGCTCCCTGCTACTGCACCTGGGAAGGCAGCAGCAGACAGCCTGCCTTTGCCTGGCCCAGTCCTAGCTGCTGCCACCATCTGAAAGTGAACCAGCAGAGATCTTTCTATCTCTGCCTTTCAAATAAATAAATCTTTTGAGCGGCATCAGATGAGGCTGCCAGTGGACTACCCTAACAAAAAGACAGGTACAGAGACGGTGATCCCAAGGGCAAATGGTTACAGTCTGACAGTTTTTCGAGATTGAAGCAGATGCTATCCACAGCTCACGTCACAGTACAGCCCATACATTATGTCACATTTTGTGGTGAGAACAGTTACCCTGTTTACGGGGGCAGAGAGCTGTGATGCATCACTACGCCACGCTGTTAGGACCACGAGAGGGGGCTCTGTGACTCCACTGAGTGTGTTCAACACTCCAAACTTAAAGGTACATTCTTAACTGCTGTTTCAGTAACAGAAATATGTTAGAATTATGGGAGGAAGGGAAAGGAAATCCATCCTAGAGTCAGAAGAATTTCAATTCTCTTGGTAATAGCTTTGTGTCGAAAAGTTATTTTATAAAGAACATATAGTACTGCACATCAGTATTAAACCATAACTTAATGGTCAATTTCAAAATGTATATTTGTTCACGTCATAGACTTAGCGGCATTTTTCTATAATTTTAAAAGAACTTGTATTATTAAAAACAAACAAAAAATCGTATTTTTAAGGTTACTCACCCTCTCCAATTTTCTCAATTTTGGTGTAGTCCTCCATTCTTGAAGGTACGGTAGATCCTAAAATGAGAGGAAAATATGACCTGATGACATGCCAATAACTCAAAGGTATATAAGCATTGATCAGATACTGTATGTTAAACATTGTCAACAGTGCTTCCTGCAGTGCACAGTTAAGTACCACAAATATTCTCACGTTACAATATTTACAAAGACAAGACTCTAAGACTTTCCCACCCTCTTAACATCTAAAACACTGGCAACGCCTCATTACGATATAGCATTAACTCCTTCCATTCCAATTAATCCTCAAATCATGTATCTATTGTTCTCGGACAAAATCAGGACTGTTTTTGCAGAACCAGAGTGTATTTCAAGGAATGCTAATTTACGATATTTCTACAAAGATCCTGCAAAACAAACTACTTCTAGTTATATGGAGAAAGCAAAACTGTATGAAGCTATTCACACTTGAAAATGAGTTTCAGCTTGTGTTTTTAGCAGTCAACCATGTAAGCTGGTTGTGTGTGTGTGTATTATTTTTGCAGGAATATTAACACTAAGGATGCTACAAGAGAATGAAAAATGGACTTCCGGAAAGTCTAAATTGCACCCTACATGGTGTCAAGTATCATCAAGAATGGCTTAAAAATAATCCAGGTAGCTCCACCTTCCAACTTTGCCAAACTTGAGCCCTCATCATTAACTCCTATGATTCTCTAACACCTTTTCGCTGAGGACAAAAAACATTTTAAAGCTGACCCTGCTTAACAGGTCCCTGAAGATTTCCATTTCTCAAACTCCCTGGCAAAAAAATCTATCTAAGTAGTGGCAATGAAAAATAATGTTGAACTACTGTTGTTCGGGGCTTATCAGCGCCCATCTTACTTAGGACATCCCTAAAGCAGAAAACTCAACTCACTTCAACCAATAGCAAAGGAATTAACCCAGATTTCAGAGCTTAGCTCAGTGGTCCTCCCATCACTCCCCAGCTCAATGATCCTCAGCAAAAACGGCTTTGCATGCCTTTCGCTATTTCTCCCAACAGCTGCAGGACGTAAAACACCAACTGGGTTAGTCACCCTCCTCCCCACCAAGCCCTCCAGGTCACGCAGTGCAAGCCAGCATGAGACTTTTTAAAAACGACCAAAGCTTACTAGAACACAAACGTCCTTTTTTTTTTCCATCCCCTGTCACTCTCGGCACCTTTTAGCTTTCTATAAACCCACCGGCTGGAAAACCTCAGCGACCTCAAATTCGTGTCCCAGGGTTCCCAAGTTCACGGGTCGCCTTCCCCATGCAAGTCTGGGTTTCGGGATTCCTGCAGGGCCCCTCACCCCTCAGCAGGTGCGGCCGGGCCTCCCACCCTCCAGGCCGGAAGGGTCTGCGCCGCCGTCCGGCCGGCGCTCGGAGTGCTCAGCGTGCATTTCTGCTTCAGCCCCAGCCCGGAGCCGCCTGCACCGGCTGGGGGGACCTCGGGCTGACCGCGGCGGCCACCACGGCGGCCTCACTCCGAGGCCACTGGCATCTCCGGCCCGCCCCAGGTAACGCCGCCAGCGGGACCCCCTCCTCGCCCACTGCGCCCACGTGCGCCCCTCTCCAGCCAGGCCCCGCCGAGGCTCACAGACCCGAGGCCCGGCCAGGCTGAACGTCCCTCCTGGCCCCACCGCCGCCCCTGCTCCGCAGCCCGGACCCGAGGACCACCCCCATCCTTCGGGACCGTCCTCCCGGCTCCCGAGGGACTCCAGGCCGGCCCGCGGTGCGCGGACCCCGGCCCCGACCCCGGCCCCTCCAGGGACTCTGCCCGGCTTACTCTCTCCGCCGTGGCCGCGACCCCAGGTAACAAGTTCCTAACCTCCCAGAGCCAGCCTTGAAACTTCAGTGCCAGCAGTTTCAAACTCACCGCGCTATAGGAACTCAGATCCACCAATCAGACAGCTCGTAGACTTTCAAAGAAGCCAATCAGGGGGCCAGCTGGGCTTGGGCGGGGCTTCCCGGCCAGGCAGAGCGCGAAAGCGGGAGGAAACGGCGGCTGGGGAAAAAGCAGGAGGGCGGGCGCCAACTGAATCGGAACGCACGCGCCGTCTTTCTTTCCTGGAGCGCGTCGTCCTCCTGTTTCTAGTCACTGGGAATCTCGTGTTCGTAAGCTTTTGATTCTCTCCCAGTCTTGGTTTCGGGTTCGTGGACACTGAGGCTTCTCTGAGCGAGTAAAGTACTGGCTAGGGTAAAGGAGTATCTTTTGGTAACCTTAACAAAGTAATGTGAAAATTCAGCTGTGCACCAAGATGTCAACAACAAATTCCGCTTTTTCATTCATATATGCATACATATGTAGCTGTGGTTTGTTTTGGACCCATTTTTAAACTTTGTGAACTTAACATTTTTAGTTCAATGTTTACTTATTGAAACAAGTTAATTTGGCTTTATTTGAGATGGAGAGGGAGAGAGATCCTCCATCTGCAAGCCGGGAAATCGATCCCACCTGGGTGGCAAGGGCCCCAGGACTTGAAACCTGCAGAATGCGCATTAGCCAGAAGGTCAACAGGGTGGGACCGAAACCTAGGCACGCCTGCACGGCATGCAGGCATTCTAACCTCTGGGTCAAATACTGCCCTATTTGTTGAAATTCTCACAAGAGTTTAGGTGCTTTAAGTTTTCAAGTACTTTCACATCAGAATTTTAAACATTCTTATTATTATTGCAAAGTCAGATCTATACAGAGAGGAGGAGAGACAGAGAGAAATATCTTCTGTCCAATGATTCACTTCCCAAGTGACCGTAACGGCCCGGTGCTGTGCCGATCTGAAGCCAGGAACCCAGATCCTCTTCTGGGTCTCCCACATGGTGCAGGGTCCCAAGGCTTTGGGCTGTCCTCAACTGCTTTCCCAGGCCACAAGTAGGGAGCTGGATAGGAAGCGGGGCTGCCGGGATTAGAACTGGCGCCCATATGGGATCTCGGCACATTCAAGGCGAGAACTTTGGCTGTTAGGCTACTGCGCTGGGATCCCAGTTTTGTTTTTTGTGCTCACCTGCAGGGACTGCATCCTGACAGACGAGTTCTATCACATCACCTCCCAGTCACAAATCTCACGCATGCCAATGGATCTTTAGCCCAGACTAAGTTGGCCCACCTCCTGTCCTGGCAGAAACAGTGACCTTGCCCAACTGGCCCATACCCATTCTGGTTGTTACTGTTGATTGCTACAGCCCAGGTACACCTGGCTCACTCTCAGACAGCTCTCACAAGGTTCAGCGGGTGCAGAGACCTAGCCCAGCCTGTCCTACACCCACCCTGGCTATTGTGAGCACCAGTGGATGCTGACGCCTAGCACAGTCTGGGACATCCCAGACCTAGTCCACACCCATCCAATGGACACTACACTCATGTCCAGCTCATTGCCCACATTCCAGCTCTCACCTTCATGGTAGGAACTGCAGCCCAACAGGGGCATTCCCTTAGCTCCCAGCCCAAGCTTGCCACCAGCTGTAGATCTTGTGCATACCAGTGGTTGCACCACACTACATCCCAACTCTCACTGGTGGGTGCTGCAGCCTAGCTCTGCCCAACCTGCCCCCATCCCCAGCTTTCATGCAAACTGGTAGCCTAGCTCAATATGGCCTGTACCCCATGCTGGCTCTCACACATGCCAGCGAGCTATGGTTGGCCTGGCCTTGCCTAGACCTATTTCCTGCCAGTGCTCCCTCCTCTCTCCTAACCCGTAAAGAGCCACCCCACACACCTGTCAGCAAGTGAAACAGCCCTGCCCAGCCTGACTGACACTTAGCCCTGACTTACGTGCTGGCCAGCAGGAGTGACAACCCACCAGGAAAGTTCCCCAAGTTCCCCCACCAGGCCAACTCCCAGACCTAGATCTCATGCTTGCCAACGGATACTAAGCCCTTACCCAGAAGTAAATTTTCCTCGTTGGGTGGTGGATAATATAGAGAGAGTATATAGAGCAGTAATTAATATATTAATTCCTGCCAGGACAATTGTAAAGTTGGATCAAGAGAATGATGATACAATCATGAGTAGTTCCTCAATCAAGTTAATTGAGGGTGGTAGAGCCAAGTTAGCTAGATTTGCTAATAGCCATCACGCAGCCACGAGGGAAAGAAGTTTGTAAGCCAGTGTTGGCCTTTGTGTGTGCTGTTGGAGGTTGTGGCTTAGCCTGCCCCATACCTATCAATGGTACAGCTTAGACCAGTCTGGCCTGTTCCCAACTCCAGTATCCATAAGTGATGTTAAGACCCATGGTCATGCCTAGTTCAGCCTGTCACCACCCCAGACCTCAAGGAGACCAGCTGGTGTGGCAGCCCCACAGGGGTAAGCCCATGATCCCCCACAGAATCTGCTCCCAGACCCAGACCCAACCTAACATGGTCCCCAACACTCTGGATCTTTGCCCCAACACTCACTGGCGGGTACTTTGGTCAAGCCCTGCCAGGCAGGCCCCCAGCCATGGCTTTTGTGTGCACTAGTAGATGGTGGCTGATACCAAGAGCCCAGGTCAGATCTCTCATATGGGTGGGCTTATTGGTTTGACCCCAAAAGATCCTCTGGTTTCCCTCCTCTAAACCATCCCATCTCAGCCCCTTCGTTTACCTGCAAGTGCAGTAACCAGGTTGTTGGAAGTCCCCAGAAGTCACTTCTCACCTGTCACGTTCTCCCTCAGAGTCTTCCCTCCCACACATCCCCACACCTGCTTCCCCCAGCAATCTACAGCCCTCCATGCCTGTAAGTACGCAGATGCTCCAAGCCCAGTGCTCTGGCAATGTGTCTTCCCAGCCTGGGGCCTTGCCACATTTGTTCATGGGTCCCCAGACCCTGTCTGCTGGCCTACTGGTAACTCCTGACACATTGGTATATAGTTAATATAAATTTGGCATTAACCAGGCCCAGGATGCCTGCCAGGTATTAGCTGTTTTCTCCCAGCAGTGTAACACCTGCTTAGGTACAATGCAGCCTCACTAGGTGCCTTCAGCTGGGAGAGTGATACCATTGTAAGAGCCTTCAGGGGAGGTTTAAATGTTAGAAGTTGTATCAAAATCCTAACAAGGTTTCTTTTTCAAATCCATGGAAAGAAACTCTGGAAAAACAGGGCCCTAATACATAATTTTCATTAGATTCTTGCTGCATCTAGTTCTAGCTCTCCACCTGCACTCCCCACACCACCCACCTCCCACAGCTGCCCCAGGGAAGCGTGCAATTACAGTCCCACACTACCACAAATTATGCAATAAAACTTTCCACATTTCAGGAAATCTCAGGGGTCAGCACATCCGGAGTGCAACAGATACACCTTGACCTTGGAAAACCACCTTCGTGACAACAGTGTCTCTCCTGCCAGGTAAGTGTGGTGCATCCAACTCTAACACTAGTGGACAATTTTATATGTATTTGGAGCTTGGATAAAAATAATGAGGACCAGTAATGCTATAAGGACTGTTAATGTCATTGAATTGTTGAGATTTCTTTATATATATGTATTTTTTAAATATGTTTGTGATAATGTTTAAATTTGACCATAATAGTGCTATGCCTGAGACAAGCCCCCAAGGCAGAACTAAGAAAATTAAATGCGGAGTAATTCTCAGAGTCTTATCTTTGTAAAGTGAGCTCAGCGAACAAAAGCAATGAATTATAATTAGATCTCTAACCATCAAGTTAAGGAATTAAGGAAAAAACTCATTTTCTAGTGGTGCTAACCCAATGAAGTTATAGTTTCATTCAATAAATTGTCATGGGGGATGATGCAGGCCTAGGATTTCACATTATGTAATACAGTGGCTCATTAGATGTGTTCATTATCATTTTCACGTTTTAAAGGATGAAGCTACAATCACATCCTCTTACTACTAAAATGAACTGGAACATAATTTACTCTTGCCTCAACTATGAGCCAGGCCCTTCCGGGTCCTGTAGAGCCGGAGGGTCTGTTCATGAACAAGTGTTGTCAGCTTCTGCAGCGTGCGCCCCTTATACCACAGGCTTGCTGCTGGACAAGTGCGTGCAACACCGCAGGGGATCCCAAAAAGATATGAAATTCAGCTGTGTTTGTCCCACTCCTCACATATTAGGGGTCCTGTGTTTCCTAGGCTTGATTTGAGAACCAGTGAAAATACAAAACTGAATAGCCATCTATCCTCACTGAACTTGAAACAGGGTTCTGGCACACACAAAATACCAGCAAGTGATTATACTTTTTTTAATGCTAAGTATCTTCCATTACCTGGTTTATTTCAACTCAATGCCATGGAGAAACAAAGGAAAGAAATGTCACATCCAGGTAGGACACAAAATACCTGCTATTTCAATGTTTGATAACATGGCTGAGTCATTCATGTGTCTGAGTCCCAGTTGGGACATGGGATACAAACAAGGATAAGATACAAGGATGTTTTCCAAATCTCACAGCCTAGATGGGCAGATATAGTAAAATAATAATAAGAAGAAGAAGAAGAAAGCTTTTTGTTATACCAGAGAAAACAAAAACAAAACCTTCTTCTTCCCCCCAGGCACAAACCACAGTCCCTAAAAGCGTTGGCTATGCAGTACCAAGAGCTCTTGCAGAGGGCTCTTGTAATAAAATGTTTGGGTCTAAGCTCTCTCTCTAACTATTCCTTTCAAGTAAATCCATAGATTTTTAGAAGCCTGTGTCTAGACACTGCATAAGCTCCATTCCCCTTGAATCCTGGCTTCTGGCCCTTCCTCTTTACTTATCCCTCACCGATTATTTCTCTTTGCCTCTCGTGCTCAAAGGATGGTAGTAGTACGAAGCTGTGTGCCTTTGATCTTAAAAAATGAGGTAATCCCTGTAACATCTAATTAGATTGGTGCCTACCCCAAAGTAAACAGCTCAGATTTCTGTTTCCTTTAGCACAGTAATAATTATCTGTCTCATGAAATC